CGTTTATCAGTGACAAACATTATGTGGATGTATGAAGAAAGAGAAGCAGAACAGCTTGCGTGTTTTTCTGCTATACAAGGAGAGGACATTTATTGTAGATTCCAAACATCACAGAGTGAGTGTTATCGGACCAAGATCTTCTTCTGACTGATTCCAGTGATTCAGGTGAAGTGAAAACATTCGCTCACATGCATTTCACACACCTGTGCACACAGGTGCACACTCAGACACACAGTCGCACACACGTTCACAGTCTTAATACAAAAAATTGAAATACAAATAATACCACAATAAAAACATTTTTTTTTTAGAAATCCTTACAGTATTAGCTATGTTCTCTATTCAGTAGAAAGACAACTAAGCTTCGATAAGTGAACATTATCTATGTCCTCTAAAATGATCAGTAAGATATTATCATAATGTAAATTATTACAGTATAAATATCTTTTCATCTATTGTTTGTTGAAAGACTTTCCCTCCTGATCTTTATTCAAAGGTTGATGATTCACTCAAACATCCTGCACGTTTTAAAGGCCTCAGCTGGCCTCAAACTGCCTTTGCTCCACATTTATCACACTCTTTAAGAAAGTTAAGTAAAAGATGCACCATTTTCTTCTAACAAATACAGAATTTACAGTCCTCAGGGAGTTGATTTCCACCTCATAATCTACACACCTGTCTGGTTTTTACAAACCTAAATTAATAATAAATTTTGACATTACGCGTAATTCTCCAGTGTACAATTGTTACCGTTATCAAACTTAAAAAAAACACAAACTGCCTACATTTCGTCCATCTTATATTGAAAGACCAACAAGCGTATTGCCTCAAACCTGCAATTCATAACAAGTGAAGACGGTTCAACATGTATGTCTTCATGCAAACTAAATTAACAGCCATGACAGAAAGAAAATAAACTTTTAGTTCCAAGAACTGTTGTGAAAAAAGTCCCATTCTGAAGGAACCACATAATAGAATGGTTTAAAGAATTATGCAATCCCCCAAAAATAATGAATCCGTTTTGATTTTTATCTCCTTTGCAAAAAACAAACGTGTCCTTTACGTCATTGTGAGTATTTACAAAAGCGATGACCAAGCAGAAGAGTTGAAACTGGAAAAAAAAAAAACATGTTCCTAACATGAGGCAGGAGAAATGAAATCTTCCAGAAGTTGGCAACTATTCTACGGACGAGTTCTTCCAGGGGAGAAAAGACGTGAAGATTTTCGTCATTGTGTTGCTGCTGCAGCAATAGTACAATATCTACAACCTTCCTTCCCCGTCAGAAACAAGACAAACAGCCGTGGCAGCTGCCTGCAGACTGTCTGCGATGAGGTGTTAAATCTCTCATTTCTCCAGCTGACAGTCATTGCTTTTTTGAAGGATTGTTCTCATATTCTCAGAGGAGACAGATGTTTCAGCAGCATCACTCAATATGTGTGTTCACACTGTGAGCAAGGGCTCCTTAGAGGAGTCAGTACAGCTACTTAGATGTCCTGCATATAAACCCAAGCTTGCAGACCAAATCTACAGCATTTCATATTGGTGACCTTAAAATTCCTGCTGTTTTGTTATTTGTGTGTCATGCATGCTTTCCCTCATGGAGGAACTGAAAACAGTCATAAAAACCCAAAAAGCTACACTGAGTTTTTTATTTGGAGCAGATAGGAGGTGTATTTCTAAATGCACTTGGTTGTTAATTTTCAGGTTATTTAGTGTCTTCTGCATGTTTGTAAACATAATGAAACAAAACCAAGTTAAAAACAGACCTTGGGAAGCTATTCTGAGAAATATGATTCACCAATGCAACAATGATGTGCTTTCAGCTTTTCCACGAGGCCAACCCTTTATGCAATAATTTTTTTTTATTTAATTCTGCAAATGACCTGAATTAGGCTCTACCATTATGTTTAAAAAAGCCATTACAATGTGGTTTCACTTTAATGCAATCAAAAATTGCAATAAAGTGCTTTTGATCAGAAGTTGTATACTTTGTGACTGAATTAACTTGAGAGACAGAATTTAAAATAGGGTTGCCAACTCCCTAAAAAAAAAAGGGACACCTCATGTGCGTGCCAATTGACCTGATAACCTTTACCCCTTCTCCTGGCATGGTGATTTTTTTTAGCCCCCCTTTGTGTGTGAAATTATTTTTTTAACTATTTGACTCAAATCTGCATTGAATTAGATGCATATTTGCAATGTGCTTTATATTCATTATCACAGACTTTTTCCACCCACCTCATTTTTTTTTTTTTTGGAGGAGAAGGAGCATCGCTATGTGAAGGTGCATTGCCCCCAAAAGCAGCGTCAGCATTTAAATTACTCCATTCATCCCCCATACTGCTCTAATGTCTCCCGCTATCTTCTCCATGAGCAACACTTGGCTCCACCAATGGGATGAAGGTATTCTGGATTGTTAAATGTATGTTGTCAGCTCATTGGTCAAAACGCAGCACAGGGCCCAGGAACAAGTTTACCATTTTGTATCTAAGCTGCCCTTGTTCTTCATTTTCCATTAGCTTTTTACTGACTATTTTTTTTACTCTCACAGCAAAATGGGACAAAGTGCGTTCCTTTTCCACTAAATATGGGACAGGTTATTCTATTTCTAAATACAGAAAGATTCCTTTTCTAAAGGAAGGGTTGGCAACCCTAGTTCAAAAGTATTTTTTTCTAAGGTTATAGGGTTTTTTTGTTTGCATAGATGCCAATATGAACTTTAATGTCTCAAATATTTTCCAGTTTCTAGCTGGGAAATAGGTGGGGTTTGGTAAGGGTTGTGCTTAGTAGCCTAGCTAGCTATGATTAGCAGAACACAGGGTTTCTGTGAGTCAGAAAAAATCATTAAGAGTCATTAAATAACTATTTTTGAAATTAAGGCCTTAATTGGCTTTAAAATTTATCAAATGTGATATAGTGGCATTTAAAATGCTTTATTTAAAAAAATAAAAACGTTTTTAAAAACAACTTCGTTGGATATATTATATCAGATATAACTGGCTCCAAAACAGCGTGGAACTGCTTCCGGTTGATCGTAAATCCATATGTTCAGAATGAAGCTTGAGGCGGAGAAAAAGCTAGATTATTTAAAAACGCAAATTTCAACAGCCTGTCCACGGTAAAGATGAATTTTGCCATGTTTTATACATATAAATGTATATATATATATATATATATATATATATATATATATATATATATATATATATATATTAGAGTCATGGGTACATGTTGATGGCAATAAAATGATTTTTAAGAGCATTAAATAATTGTTACTCATTCCCTATAAAAGGTTAAAGTAGCACCTAATTTAAGGCTTTTAAAATTGAATCAAGATGCTCTTGGCAAGAGTCTCAAAGATACTCTACCTAAATTAAAATTTACATATGAAAGAAATGAAAAAAATATATAATTTCTAAGGGTTTCAGCTTGTAATACAAATAGGAGCCATATTGGATTTGATTGCGCGATCAGGACACTTTGGGTCATTTTTAATCTTAGTTACATTTTCCTCTGAATCAGGGGTCAATATTAGCCTAAATGATAAAAAAAATGCTTAAACTTTAGCTATATCTAACATTACAGCTTGATCATGCATTATCACAGTATTCCACCTTAATAATTGTGACAAATGTTGATGAAAAGAAGTTCTACAGTACTTTCTGACTAAAACAATAAAAAAAACAATTAAAGCTAGTTTATTTCTAAAAAAAGCCAAAATCAAATTTAAGACTCTGACCTAAAAAGGAGCTTTTATTTTAGCCTTTCCTGTTTCCTACTTCACTAAGGAGTCAGAGTCATAATTTGGTAAAAAACTTAATTGTTCGCATTTCTAAACCAGCTAAAATGTTTGCTCGGTGAACTGGAGTTTATTTAATGCAAAAACTGTTGGAACATGTGAAAAATTAAATCTATAGTTCTTTATTTTCAGACTGAATTAAAGAGAGAGCAATGGAGAAAAATTTGACCAGTGCTCTGCTGCCGTTTTTCATCTATTAAGTAGCCGTACGGGATTTTAAAGTCACACAGAGAGATTTCTTTTGTCTTTTTTTAAAGCTTGTATGATGGGGCAGCCATATTGCATTTTAAAGTGAATACTGGCTCTCCAAGCACATGTATCACTACTGTAACACCTCAGTGGTTAAATGTACCACTGAGGTGTTACAGTAGATTCCTCCAATGCATAACTTTTAATAATAACAGTGTTTTTAACAGCTTCATCAGGACTACTGGGTGAAGTAGTTGTACAAACGTTCTTTTAAGATTAATAAGGTTCACAGCAAGTTTTTTTTGGGAGTTATTGGAAATGTTTCAGTCAACCAAAAAAAAAAAAACTTTTTACTAGTGTTGCACCAATACCGATACCCGTACCAGGCGGGGCCCCGATCCAGCACTAAAATGGTTGTATCGGTATCGGCGAGTGCCAACAAATAGAGCACCGATACCATTTTCAGAGCCAAACGTTTATTCAACTATTGTCACCCATTCCAGGTAGGCAATAAAAAGTTCTACTGGATTCACTTTGTATTAGTCTTTTTCCTGCTTCACAAAGGTAGGAAGCAGCTTGACAAAGCCATGATGGCAATTATTTTACATCCAAGTAGTATGCAGTTCTTCATATATACACACACACCAATTTGAAACAGATGGTATCGGCCGATACTGCACAGCCGGGTATCTGGTATCGGGGCCAAAAAATGGCATTGGTGCAACACTACTTTTTACAGAAACATAAAATCAGGCATTTTTGCACCTTTTTATTATTATAGAATACGATAAAAATATAATTTGGTTTTAAAAGTCTCAAATGTAACATTTGATCTGTTTGGAGAATATTTTGAGTTGAGCAATTCCATTTTAAATTTAGCATGTCAGCATCAGACGGATGTGTTGAAAACCTGCGGCTTTGGCAGCTCTTCACTGTGAGGCATGAGAGCTAAAAAGCTTCAAAAAGGCAGCAGGAGCAGTAAAAAGCCACTTGTCATGATTTGATTGTCCCCCCCCCCATCTTTTAAGAGTTTAAGCTTGAACAAAATACAGCAGGATTTATTCAATCTATGGCTGAAACAGTGAAATGTTGTGGCCCTGTTTTCACCTTATGGTCAAATATTTCCTCTCACTGTCTATTAAGATTGTCAAATTCAATCAGGAGGCGCTCTGAGTCAATTCGTTTTCTGTTGCCTTTTATTTGTTGCTTTCTAAAGTTGTGCATTTCTAATCCTAAAACTGAAGCAAAAAAAAATGTCCAAACTCTGCAGGTGTTGATTTCCTCACATGTGCTCGATTCACACATGATCTAATAAAACAGAAATGATGAAAGCAGCATGATTCTAAAATTGTGTGCATTTATTATTTCATTCTCAAGTGAGTTTTATGTCTAATGCTACTTTGCTTACTCACTACAACTACAACAGTGAGGTTTTGCTGCAGCAGACACGCCTGCATGGCCGTGAACCACCTGTATACTCGCAGTGTGAACACCCTGGATGAAAGTCACTGATGTGCTACAAAAAAAGGCTTCCCTACTCAAAGGCTACTTGTCAGGTCAGCCATCAGTCAAGTCCAACAGTCCCTGGTGGAGGCCAAAGCGCCGACCGCTGACATGTGGGGTCACCTTTGGTCTGCAGGTACTGACGCCAACCACAGGACCCGCAGCGCCTCCTGCAGGGGTTTAACACCTCCTCCAGATGTGCAGTCCAGTCAGCAGCTTGTTGTCGCCGTCGTCCATGAGTACACACACACATATAAACACGCACGGACACTGTCCTCCTGTCATCCCTCTTGCAAAAGGGTGGTGGTTCCAAGAAGGAGGCGGGTTACCAGTTCATCATGGAGCTTCTGTTCAGGGTCATGAAGAAAACTTGACTACTGCCTCCCGAGCGAACCGAGGCAAAGAAGACCTGCAGAGAACAGAGGGAACCCTCAGGTTTATTCCTTACAAACGACAGCAAAAAAGCTGTTTTATTTATGATCATTAAAGGGGGAGTGGCAGTGTTCTGTTAGGTCAGCATATCCATAGTTAATCATAAGCGCAAAAAGGCAGATTTGCGTTTATCTTTTTAGTTTTGAATGAAAAACTCTAAACTACCTCAATTGGCATATATCCCTTTAGTCATGTACATCAAAAACTATTTAAGGTCAGATCACCATACGCTTCAAAAAACACCTAAAAGTAAGCCATTAAATTATTTTTTGTACAGGACTAAAGGGATAACCTAAAGGGATAAACAGGTTTTGACTATGGGTATGCTGGTCTGACTGGGTATGCTGGTCTGACAGAACTCTGGCCTTTAAGGGGAGGGGCAGCCTAGTGGTTAGGGCATTGCAGCTTGGAATCCTGAGGGTCTGAGTTTGAGTCTGACTCCCACAAACTGCCACTCTGGGTCCCTGAGCAATGATCCTTAACCCCACACTGCTCCCCAGGGGGATGGGTTAAATGCAGAGAGTTCATTTCATTGCTCTGTACATGTGACATTTTAATGACAATAAAAGCTGGGAAAAAAATGACTTTTCAACCAAATAGAACAAAAGAACTGAACCTTCACTGAATTCTGTTTTGTAAACATAAAGTGTTATTAGAGCGTGATTCAATACAAGCTAACACAAAATTCTAAAAATCTAAAAAGTAATAAAACTACAAGAGAATATAAGAGGTCTGGGTCGAGACAAGATGCTTACTTTGTCATTCCTCTCCGTCAGGAACTTGAGTCGCTGAGCTCGCTTGTGCATGAAAACTCCATCGAGGTGTCCCGTCTCCACGGACCGGATCTCAATGGCCTTCTCCCCCCAGCCCATGATCTGGTTGGAGTGGATGTAGGCTGCAAAGACAGGAGGATACATGCAGAATAAAAACACAGAGCTTCAATCAGAGGAGGCTAATACTCTGACAGCTTCTCATCATGTGTTGGTATCTATATTCTGAACCAGAGATTCTACAGAATCAGCACCGTTAACTGGACACAGAACCCCAGGTCAGCCATTCCAAACCCAAAAGAAAGATCCTAGATCTGCAAAGTAACCATCAGCATCAGGAATGTTGTGACATTTGATTGTTTTAGGTGGCGTCCATCTTATTTTCACTAATAACAACTAGTACTGGAGGACCTAGGATAATTTCTCTATGGATGGATGCAGCCATGCGGGTGAAGTGCAGGTCAACCCCGGATTGCTGTTCCCTTTATTTATACCCAATGCTGTTTATAATTTTAAACAGTCCTTTACAAAACGACTGGGACAGCAATTATGGGACATTTCCAGTTGCAGATATATAGCTGTTTTAATTTGACAGCAAAGACAAAAGAAAATTATATATTCTGTTAAGAAAATCTAGAAAATAACACCTCATAGCTATCTCTATAGTTACGCTGTTATAGGCCTAGACTGCTGGAGGACATAGGGACCCCTATTTCATCATTCTATCTCTATTTTTCTACTCTGCAGAATCTGTTAGTTCAATCCCTAACTTTCTGCTCTCTCTACTTTCTCTCATATTAGCTTCGCCTCGTCTGTTCCTGTTTGGCTGTGACTCCATCCTGGAGAGAAATATCAGCTGTGCTGCTGCCATCAACACCTTTGTTTATACATGTTGGAGATCCCCCTGTTTTTCAGTGTAGTCCTGTTTCTCTGACCCTGACTAACTGGACGTGCTCTCTTCATCCTCTGCCATGGGAGCTGGCTCAGAGCTCGTCTGCCTGGCTGTGTTTCCTGGACGGGGCCGCCTTTTACAGTTGCCTTTTGTATCTCTGCTTCTGTTTCTTTTTAAACCCCAGTCGGCCTCAGCAGATGGCCGCTCACACTGAGCCTGGCTCTGCTGGAGGTTTCTTCCTGTTTTTTCTCTCCACTGTCGCTACAAGCATGCTTAATGTGAGGGATTACATCCGAGTCAATGAGTCAATGCAATCAACTGGTTTTCCTTAAATAGAAAACTTTGAATCAATTTGACTGGAATCTGGTGAACTGTAAAGTGCCTTGAGATGACATGTGTTGTGAATTGGGGCTATAGAAATAAACTGAACTGAATTGAATTGAATAACACAATAAGTTATATTTCTTTTATTTGATTGCAAACTCAAATTCTTTGAGAGATGAGCATTGAAAATATTTTTATTACACACCTTCAGTTACATACTGGAGTCCACATGTAATTAATGTGAATAAACACAGCTTCTCTGTGAGGGTTTGTTGCAAACATCTGCAGCTCAGTTGGGGAATCAGACCATCTTAGTTCTCTTTCCTGCATACGCTCAACTGAATACCTCTGCATTAGGGTCTATGCATACTTTGGTTTCTGCATCTTTTACTTTCAAATAATGATTACCGTATTTTCACGACTATAAGCACATAAACATCTTTTTTTTCCCTCAAAATGTGTGGTGCGCCCTTTGGTGCGGTGCGCCCTATGTGTGTTGTAACTGCGACTTTTGAGACCACCTCATTGAGGAGATGATGAAAGAGTGGCTGAATGTAAGGAGACCAGGTGTTTTTTTTTTCCACTCATCACCATCGCTGTTAATCTGTCTCCATGTGCCTATCTCACAGCTGATGTGAAAAACATGGGGAAACAAATTAACCCTGTGCTCGCTGTTCAACCGCTCGACATCGGTGTGAACCAGACCCAGCAGGTGCAGCAGAAGCAGCGAGTTTACATGCAAAGTCAATGGTTGACGCGCGTATAGACGCAGCAAAAGGTCCCGCAGCGCGTTTTGAGCAGCAGGCGCTGCGCGTCGGGAGCGTTTAAGCATCTGACGCACCGCCAACGCGCTGCTGCTGCTCGAGATGGAAAAATTGAAGTTTTGCTGCTGGACGCGCCGCATCAACCAATCAGAGAAGCTGATCTGGGAGCTGACAGCGAGACAGACACAGCGCTCTGATGACATATGATTTTAAAGCAAATGAAAGGGCTGGATGGATGAGGAGATGATGAAAGCGTGGCTGAGGGAGGTGTATGTGAGGAGACCAGGTGGTTTTTTCCACGCATCACCATCGCTGCGTGCCCATCTCACAGCCGATGAGAAAAAAAGGTGAATCAAATAAACGCTGTGCTCGCCGTTATCCCGGGGGGTCTGACAAAGGAACTTCAACCGCTCGACATCGGTGTGAAGCGGCCGTTCAAAGTAAGGCTGCGAGCGGCGTGGGAGCGATGGATGACAGACGGAGACCACAGTTTCAGGATAAGTGGAAGGCAGCGCCGGGCAAGTTACGCCACCGTTTGCGGATGGATTGTTGATGCTTGGACTAAAGTGTCTGCTGGCTCTGTTGTTCAAGCTTTCGCAAAAGCCGGCATTATTTCTGAGGAGCCGCGCTGCACGGAAAGTGGCTCTGACAGCGAAGAAGGGGAAATTGGCATGTCTGATTTAGCGCAGCTGTTTAATTCAGAAACAGAGGATGAGGACTTTGATGGGTTTGATTAATACTTTGTAATAAATACATGAATAAAGCACAATCATACTCAGTTTTGCTCCCGCTCTATTTTTCTCCCTGAAAACTTAATTCAACAGCAGCCTCTGGGCCGGGTCTCCTCCTCTTCATCGCGGTGGCTGGCAGGTGTTTTTTCATCTAAATAATCTAAATCTTGCAGCTATATTTGCTGTGATCAGTGGGAATAAAGTAGTTTTAATATGTTTTTAAGTGAGAAAGTCCACCTGAAAACTTAATAATTGCAGTCAGTTCATCCAGATTATCTATTTCTGTCGGAGGCGCTCAGACCCCCACATACCAGCGGTGCACCGACAGCAGAAATCCCTTCATCAGCAGCCTCTAGGCTGGGCAGCCTCCGGGTTCACGCGGTGGCTGGCAGGTGTTTTTCATCTAAATACTTTAAACGGCAGGCACCAGGATACCGGCAATAAAAGCGAACATATTCCGTCGGCAGGTTTCAGTATTTTAAGTTAATTTAGGAGTGATCACAGCGCTGTGTCATCTGCGATGTGTCTGTCTCATGGCCAGCTGCAAGGTTTGATTAATACTTTGTAATAAATACATGAATAAAGCACAGTCATACTCAGTTTTGCCCCCGCTGTATTTTTAAATACGCAGTAGAGCTATTTAAAGTTAGTAGAGGACATGTACCTGTATATAAAAAACGCGCCCTATAGTCCGGTGCGCCTTATGTGTGTGTTAAATACAGAAATGGGACACATAACTGAGAGTGCGCCTTTTAGTACGGTGCGCCTTATGGTCATGAAAATACGGTATATTAAAGAATCAAACAGGACTGACCCACAGCTCATCGAAAAGGTCATCAAAGCGTTTTGTTAAAATCTGAATCCAGCGAACTGCCGGACCAACTTACCCACAGATGTGGGCATCTCGCCCCACTGCAGCACCACGTCTTTGGTGATACGCCCATAGGTGTTGACGTAGACGCCCTCATCCTCGTAACACAGCAGCATCTCCATGCCGTCCGTCTTGGGCAGGACCACGATGGCGTGTGGGGTAACCTGACCCTGAATCTGTAGGGTACCAGAGACAGAGGAAACTAAACTGCTGTGTTCTCCTGCTTCCCAGCCATGGAAACAGACATGAGCACAGCAGGAATCAACAGCGCCAAAAAGCAACGAGAGGCGGTTGCTATGGTTACAGTTTCCGATTTTGCATCCATGTCTGACTGAAACCCTGCCAGGGTGTGAGGAGGACACTGACAATTTCGTTGTTATGTTTTTCCTGACATACGGTTGGATTTATTTAAACGCACAATTGTACAACATTCTGAAGTCATCTCTGGTTCTTCCTGTCAAGGAGCCAGACTTTTATTTATTATTTCAATGTGGGTCAGAAAAACATATTCTAAGCTTTTTCTTTTTTGGACATTTGCTGTTTTCCTTGCTTGTTTTTTGTCCCAAACACCTAAACGTTTTAGATTTCTGCTTAAATAAGATTACTGGAGATGGAGCAGCAAATAGGTCAGAATGACTCGTAGGTTAGATTTAGTTTCCAGACTGAAAACAGTCAGACACTGCATGGAAAATCAGAGTTTAAAGTTAAACTCTCCAAGAACTTTGGGGAAATACTGATGGAGACCAGCTTGAAGGATATAAAAAGTTTTTTTGAGACAAAGTATAAATAGAGGAAGTTTTGGAGCTTCTTCACAATAATATCAAAGACACTGCGGTGGACAATCCATCTTCTTCATGAATATTAATTCGCCCTATCCAGGGTTTGTCAGCTCGTTAATCTGAAACTGAATTATTAAACATTATCCTTTTACTCACTGAGTCAACTTTGTTCAATTAATCACAGTGTTTCGCTCTGATTTTAATAAATAAAGTAAACCCTCATCCATCAGCGCAAACTTTACATTGTATTTAAACTTTAGACACCCAGTAGCTTCTAAAGACCCATTTTAAATCAGATCTAGCAGTACTAATCTATTATTATTTATTACTTTTAGCAAACAACTCATTTTAATTTCTATATTTGTAGTTTATCTTTTATTTCATAGCATAAAGAGATAAGTAAAAAAAACCTCAGCAAACTTAGAAATAACATTAGCTGCCTTATAGCAACAAAGCTTAGAATGTGTGGTTTGGATTTTAAGCAACTCAATGCAGAAAATAACAACAAAAAGCCAAATGTTATTCTTTAAAATCTCTTTTTTATGAATAAGACAATGAGGTCTGAAGATGATTAAACAGTTTGTGGGACATCCTTTCACTGCAGTTCCAGCTACAGCTCCTCTAAGGTTGGTCTCTATCAGCTCTTTACATCTAGAGATGAATTTTTTTTAATCCTTCCTCTTAAGATAAAAAAAGATACTTTCAGGAGAAGCTGTACTTTCAAGAACTTTTTACTTTTGCTTGGGTAATACTGTAGTGAGAGTATTGCTACTTTTAGATAAAGTTTCTGTTTTTTCTATCCACCACGAGTTTTACAGTAAAAGCTAGTTATCACTAGAGGTAGGTTATGGTTTTCCTCACATGTGCCTTGCATACTGTACATTTTGGTTTTTATAGGTTTAAAAAAAAAAAATTGGAAACTTCTGTGTGAGTTTGTTATTTTACCATGCACTGCAAAAATGATCTAGAAACAGGTCAAAATGTCTTAAATCCACTGTATTTACCCTCAATTTGAGTAGGTAAGTAAGATGATTTTCCAATGGAATGAGGATTTATACGCTGAAACAAGGTAATTAGATAATATGCACTCGAAATAAGGCAATGAAATAGTTGTTTTCTTATTTTAAATGTAAACTCTTTTTCCATTGGCAAAGTGTCTGACTTATCTCCTCAATTCAAGAAAGAATGACTTATCTAGGTTTACATTTTTTTCAGTGTGTTCTTTGTTTATTTTGTTTTAATTATATTTTAATTCTTTTAAATGGCAGAATTTGGACATATTTCTCCGTCTGATACATCGTTTAAACATTAGATATGATGTTATGAGCTCAGTGCTCAGAACTAAGTATCTATTTCACTAAGTATGTTTTAAATCTACCTCGAGTGACTGATTGGATTACCATTTTTACTCCAGGTAAACTGTTGGGTAATCTACCCACCACTGATTACAAGCTAGATTTAGCTTCTGGACTTTGACTAGACCATCATAATACATGAATATGCTTTGATCTAAACACAATTGGATGTCTTGTTGAATCTTTATGGAGGGAATTTTGATTCCTTATTGTTGCAAGTAGAAAACACATTTTCCATTTTAAAAATTGAAAAAACAAGAAAGGCAATCAGAAATCAGTAAGAAAAAATGTTTTAATTAAAAAAAGGTTTCAAGAGCAACTTTGCTGTTTTCTAAGATTTTTGTAAAATCATTTCTCATACTTTATATTTCAAATTTTATCTTCTCAAATTTTGAATTTTACTTCCTGAAATGTATCATTGTAATTATTATTATTATTATTTTTTTTATATAACAGATTTTAGTCTTTCAAAACAATATTTTGCTTTATTGGGAAAATTTCTCTATTTCAAATTAAGGTTTAAAATTGTTATTCTTTTCAAGTTGTTTTACCAGGTCACATCCTCTACACTACGGGGGTCTTTCCTTGAAGAGCAAAGATGCATTTCTGCTGGTCTGCATTGATGTTAGCAGCTACTGGTCATGAGCGAATGTTTATATTGGGCTGGAAGTGAAGAGAATTTGATCTTTAAAAGAGGGTTTGAATAGAATGTAAAACTCAATCTGAGAAACACATATTTGAAGAAAAAAATCTAAAATCTCTAAAAAAAAAAAAAAAAAGTAAGAACTTTTAAAAAATAAAATATGAAAAAAATGATAAGTATAAAAATTACCTTTTCTTTTACTAAACAATTTTCAAAGTTTCATTTTTATATTAAATGTTTTGACATTTTAGTTAGCATTTCTTTTCTTCAAATTTCCATTTAAAAAACCTGTTATTTGCAGGCAACAACAATCGCACAAAATTGACTCCATAAGTATTCAGGGTTGTTGTCCTACTGGAACGAATCTCTCAAATCTTTTCCCATCTCTAACAGATTTTCTTCCAGAATTGTCTTAGATTTAGCTCCTTCCATTTCTCCATAATAAAAGAAGTCATGTATCATTTTCCTCCCATTACTCGTGCTAATATTTTACATAAAATCCCAAAATGTTGAAAATGTTAATAAATACTTGTATGAAGCTTTTAATACTGGGATCAGGTCCTTAAAGTGGGAATAAATTTGATTTCCCCCACAATATAAAAAAAAAACAGATTACAGACACACCCTTACTTACATGTGAGGGGATGTATATGTCATACGGGTTTCCAGAGTCCACATCTATCACATGGAAACCAACAGTGGAGCCATAGATGACCTTTAACCGCTGGCCCTCTTCCACGGTTAAATCTACCAGCAGGGGGCGATGTTGAAGATCTGTAAAAGACTGACACAGACAGAGAGAATGGTAAAGACATTTAATTGCTGAGCTTTAGCCAAGAATCTCTCTGTAACTCGTTTCTGATGAGGTCGTTTTCTGACCTCTTGGTCAGAAAACACGTCTTGAATCCAAGAGGATAAAATACGGTGAACAACAGGTGACAAAATTAGCTTCGAAAACATATTTGAACTTTATTGATCTCACACTGGAGAGGTTTACCTCTGCATTTTAACCCTTGGGGAGCAGTGGGCTGCCATTGTGCGGCGCCCGGGGGGAGCAGATCCACCTCATTTTGGGTAATTCTCGCCTATTTTGCATACCCCAATGCAAAAGCTAATAACTTAGGATTTTTAAGCCCAAATTACATGTGTAATACATTATTTGAAAGCTAACACCCTGTAGTTTCCGAATATATAAATGAAAATTGGGTGAGTAGAACACAGACCAAGCTGCATCGGTTCAAACATGACTTACAGTTGTTTCTGTTTATTCTGGAAAATGATAGGTCTTTTTTTTGGAATGCAGTAATAGATACATACATGAGAAAAGGCAGGTCTCATTGTATTCCCTTTGTTCTACATCATGTAAACCACAAATGCAGAACATTTCAGCTACAACAGTTCCAACAGTTTGGGTGTCAGCAGTGTCTCCAAATGTGCCAAATGTTTTTACTATGCTTTGCTTTACTAATTGGCCCATAAAATGAAACTGAAGCATTTTGATAGCCCCAAAACATTTATAAAGCAAGTATTCCCCACTTTTTTTCAGAATCAGAAACAAAATGTAGAATTTCTACATCCATAATAACATAAAAATCAGTAAAAGATAGTGAAACTGCTGCTTTTCAAGCTAAAATAAGCCCCAGTGCCTTTTCTGAGCTTTATTTTATTTTATTTTTCAGCCTTGGGCATTATAATAAAACGAAATCAGCATCCAAACTTCAAAGAAAATAGGACCGCTGTGTCACTCAGCTTGGAGCTGCATGCATCGAACCAGCTACAGCTGTGTGTTTCACAGCAGGATTCTATGAGGCGTAATATCACACGTCACTGGCTGACAGCAGGTGACCGGAAGTGAGATTTTAGCGACTGTATCTGGTTCAAATCGTGTCATACAAAGATGTAGACACTTTTGTCTTGTAGATAAGAAGATGATGTAAAGAATCATACCAAACATCTCGGGCTAACAACCCAGGAAATAAGTATTAGGAAGTAAATATTAACAAGATACTGAGCATTAGTTATGACCAGCTAACTTTTTTTTATGTCAAACCAGATGTTATGGACAATATTCTAATCATGGAATATTTTTATTACGAATATGCTGGATTACTTTTAATCTGTGGACCCTTATGCACGAATGGAGTTTAAACAATTGAAGATTGCAATTATAAAACGGCTCCTGGATGCCTTCACAGGTATGTTTTTGTGGCTGCTTTGCCATGTTTACATTTTGACATGCTGCTGTATCTGTGTTCATTGTGCTTTGGTGCTCACTGTGTCCATAAAATGAACTAGGTGGTTGAATTGTTGAGAATCTAAGCTTTGCAATGATGTCTAACATGTCTATAGTGGTAAACATTTTACCGGTGGAACCTTCATGCATTCTGAGTTTTTCTCAAAACTGAAACACCGGCGACCCGGTGGGTTTGGAGAGGTTAAGGCTCTTGCTCAGAGACCCAGAGTGGCAGCCGTGGGGATCGCCCCGGGTACTAGTAACCTTCTCAGAGCACAAGCACAAGGCTCTAACCACTAGGCCAACAATCCCATTAAAACATGGATGATGCAAACCAAAAAAAATGTAAAATCGCTCCACAATCCAGGAATCACAATAACCACTAAATCAAATGAGACCAGACTGTCAGCAGAGACATTTCCAGGAACATTGGATCAAAAAAAGGAAAGTTCTGTTTACTTGACTTAGTGATTGGCTCCCCCTAGTGGTTTACAGGAGCGTGTTGATGGTAAACTTTTAACTCGTCTAAATACTTATATGTAGTAATGTGGCGTCTTGTCTCCAACACAAATAAGTCGAACACGTACAGCTTGCTGTTCTTACCTTAAAGGCCATAAATTTATGATAAGGTTTTGGTGCCCAGGCGTAGATTTCCACTGAGTTCTTCAGAGCAATCACCAGGAATTTAATCCTCTCGTATTTCACTGCAGGAAAGTTTAAAAAACATGTCAGACATGAAAAAAGAAATGTCTGAATAGTATAATTAGCAATAAAAGTAGCAATAAAAAAAAACTCCCTCTAGTTGTGTGTGATGGTTTTGTAAGCTGACAACATACCAACTTTATAGTGCACACAGCCCTCCAGCTCCCCCACTGTGATCCAGCCCTGCTTCTTCTCCACCTCGGGGTCGTTGTGTAATATCCTGTTCCTCAGCCAGGACAGGTAGTAAACTCGGAGCTTGTTCTTCTTCCCTGCAGAAGAGGAAAATAGGGGTTTGTTTTTCAGCTGATCAGCAGATCTGGATCAAATAAAGATGTTTCTTCACATTTAGAGTGAAATAAAAGGCTCTGATTCAGACTTATTCTTTCTCTTTAGCTGTGCGACCACAGAGAGACCTTATTGGGGAGGAACTCCTGAATGAGATTCTCTGCAGGTCAGGAGATCTCACTCCCAGACTGCTCAAAAGCTACTAACTGGGCAGGCTGGTTATGGCAGAACCAGACTGCAGCAATTAAGAACATAATATTCTCTCTCAGTCTAAACAGTGGCTTGAAAAATCATTCATCCCACTTGAAGTTTTCCACCTTTAGCCAAATCATAGGCTTCAAACATAAAGATATTAGGTTGTAATTCTTTGTAAAGAATCAACAACAAGTAGGACAAGATCATGAAGTAGAATTAAATTGATTGGTTGTTTTAAACCTTCTGGATAAAAAAATACAATGTTGAAAAGGAAAGAGTATCAGACCACTTTGAATCTACAAAGACCCTGCTGTTTCTCAAAACTTTCCTGTCAAACAAGGAGAAGACTGGTCCGAGATGCAGCCCATGAACTGCAGAGATCCATAGGAAAAAAAATCATATACTGCATAAATCTGCCCTTAATGGAAGAAAGCCATATCTTAAAGATATATATAAAAAAAAAAAATTCTCAATTAAAGTTTGCCACTAGGCACCTGGGAGACAAAGCAACCATGTGGAGGAAGGTTGATCTGGTCAGAACAAACCAAAATACAACTTTTAGGCAACAATGCAAAACGTTATGTTTGGTGTAAAAGCAACAAAGCTCATCACCCTTAACACACCACCTATACTGACAAACATGGTGGTAGCAGCATCATGGTTTGGGCTTGTTTTCCCCAGCAGGTTCAGGGAAGATGGTTCAAATTGATGTAGAGATTAGGGCTGCAACAACGAATCGATAAAATCGACTTAAAAGCGTTGGCAACAAATTTCATCATTGATTAGTTGTGTCGCGCGATTAATGCGTCATCCGCCGCCGTCATCATTGGGGCGCCTCCCCCATCCCAACCCCGCTCCCTCTCAGCGCTTCAGTCAGAGGATGTTTACCCTCAGCGTCCAGACTGCAAATGAAGCGCGCATGTGCCGGGATTGACGGCGCAAATTGATCACAATAATTAAGTAGCCTGCGCTTTGTACAGTGAAAAAAGTCGTAACATGCAACTTTTGTAAAAACAAATGAACATGGCACGGAAGCACCACTGTTATGACGCAGCACCTGAAAAGAAAACATGTTGGAGCCTTAAATGGCAGTGAAGAGAGCTGATCAGCAGTATGAGTAACCATGTTTGTTTGGTTTTAAAGTGGGGAAACGTAACGTTAGTTTCTCAGGTAGCTCATCTGATGCTTTCCTTACCGTGTTAGTAGGTTACAGACAGTGATAAGGTTGGCTACTTATTTTACTTTTAATTTCATTTGAATTAGCTTAAGCAGCGTTTATATTTTCTTTATAAATAAATTAACTTGCAAATTATGAGGGCAAGACTTTTAAAGTTTAAATCTTCTGGCAAAAATAAAGTAAAGATCCTGCAATTTATGGAAGTAAAGCAGAATAAAATCCAGCAAGATCAGTAATATGTCAATTAATTATCTGCCACATTCCCATGTAAATATCTGTCTTTGGAGGATGTGTTTTTTAGCACCCCTAGTTCTCTCATTTTTATTCCAAATACAATTTATAATTTGAACCACAGGGCTATTTTTATCTCTATGGTTCAGTATTTTCTCAAGTAGCAACTTTAACTGCTGTACTTTCCTGTCTTAAAATGTTTATTTTGGAATAAAGAGCTTAATATAAAAAATATTTTTTGTCCGATTCATCGATTAATCGAAAAAATAATCAGCCGATTCATCGATTTTTAAAATAATCGTTAGTTGCAGCCCTAGTAGAGATGAATGAAGCTAAATACAGGAGTTGTTTCTAACTAACTGACTCACTAAACTGTATTTGTATTGGTATTTGTCAACATGATGCGCCTGCTACTCATCCTTTGCAGTTTATAAATAAAATTAAATAAAATTAAATTTTTGGAGCAGCTGAAAAGGAATAGGATCGTTTCAGCCGTTGCGTTTTTATTTTAATTTTCTCTTTGTGTCATCCTTTTCCTCTCAGTTATTAATCAACTTATCTGAATTAAAGGTGATTTGAAATTGATTCTTAGCATATTTACTGTTTGTACTGTAACTATTGTTTTAAAATTATGATTTAAAAACCTAATCCACAAGCATCCTCATTCACATTTCCCCCTAAATTTTTTAACTTATATTTTTTTACATTATTTATTGGCTGCATCTAAAAATATCAAAGATATTTTCAATTTAAACATATATATTAAATAGTATAATATAACCTACAATAACTGAAATGATATCATTGTACTAGGTCATCAAATCAATTCAGTTTAGTCTTTCAAAAAAGAACTGCCTGTAGTGGCTTTAAATGTCCAGCAGGTGTCAGTATGCTGTGAGACAGAATCAACGCAGCATCAATAGTTTGGCTTCAAGATGCCTCATTAACCATCACCTGTTGGAGTCTGCAAAAGACCTAAGACTGAAATTTATCTTCTAACAAGACAATGATCCACAATATAAAGCTACATCTAAAGTGGAATGGTTCACAAATAAACATATCCAGGTCTTAGAACGGCCTAGTCCAAGTCCAGACCTGAATCCAATGGAGAATCTGTGGAAAGAACTGAAAACATCTGTTCACAACACCCCCTCCAACCTCACTGAACTGCAGCTGCTTTGCAGGAAGAATGGACAGAAATGTCCGTCTCTCAATGTGCAAAACCAGCAAATCTGTAATCGCAGCAAAAGGTAGCGCTACAAAGTATTAACTCAAGGGGGCTGAGTAATTTTGCACACCCACTTTTGCAGTTTATTTCTTTTAAAAAAGTTTAACACATTTAATACATTTTGTTCCACATAATAATTGTTGTTTTGTTCCATATAAATAGTTTTATATATTTATATTTGAAGCCCGGAATTTGGTAAAAGACCCAAAAGTTCAAGGGGGGTGAATACTTTTGCAAGGCCTTGGAAACCAACAAAGGACACACCTGGCCTCCTGGCGAGGCCGTCTGAACAGAGATCACCCAGCTCAGACCCAAACTAAGCCTTCCAGAACTTTGGACATCTCATCACCTCAACTTAGAAGAAGATCAACACAGCTGCTGATGTTTTGATTGTTTGTAATTTTTAATTCTGTTTCTTTGGTTTGTTTTATGTTTTGATTGTGATGTTTTCTAATTGAAAATGTACCCCAAGAGGGCAGTCTCTACACTTGTAGAGAGTGATGGGGATCATTAAATAAAACAAATAAACAGAGATTACAAGTCTGGCAAAGTTAGGGAAAGAGTTTCCAGCTGTTTTTTAGGATTTCCAGTCATATTATGTTTACTGTTGAATAAGGCAAGCTACAAGAGGTTTTGCTTCCCATCCAGGAAGCTTTTTCAATTTGAAAAAATGAATTGAACTGAAAAAGCTTCCTGGATGGAAAGCAAAACCTGTTCAAACTTGAAAACAAAGTCCAGTGGATTGTTTTTAATTTTCTTTTTTTTGGAATGACTAAACCAGCAAAGGCTGACATGTTTTGAGCTGTTATTTGTAAAATTAGGACAAACTTTATTCCCAGAAGGTTTTAAACACTAATATAAAGTCAACGTTCATGTGTTTAATGTTATGCTCATTATATTTGATCACTCAAACATAACCAAAGAATCCTTTAAAAAGGAGCAGTGACAGATTGGGCAACACCGATGAGTTTGTGCAGGTATTGAAGTCACAGAGCAAAACCCCATATCGGTGTGCGTATCACTTTAAGAAATAAGTCATGTGATCGATACAGTGGCAGTTTCACCTGTTACAGAGGAGCTAAACTGTTTTAATAAGGCAGCACATCTGGATCACTTCTTCATCCCATTCAGACATTTTGAAAACAAAAGAAAACATTTAACATTTTAATTTAACAACAGAAAATAAGATATCGGTTTGTATTTCCTCCCTCTCTGTCAGCTTCATCGATCAGACTCCAAATACATTTGGAGTGACTCAGTTTTATTGACTCCATTTATTCTCACCGGTTAAATGTCACATTTGTGCAACTAAACTGTCATAAATAAATCAAAGCCTCTCCTCAACGCTCCGCATTAGAGCGAGGCATCAACAGGACTGTAGAGACTCAGAAACCATCCTATCTGTCTGTATCTGTGTGAAGCGCTGCTGGCTGGATTAAACAAACATGCTGAGACTCAGGTGATTTAATACCACAGCAGGTATCAAGCTTCCAGGAAGGACCTGGCAGTGTTAAAGAGGGAGGAGTTCAGAGAACTGCTCAACCATCATGAATATTCAGAGAACTTTTTTATGACCTGCCTTAAAAATAAAAACACAATGAACTAAATACCAGATTCTTCCTGCATCAATGGCAATTTAATAAGCAGCATCACATCTACAAAACCTTTACTTTACCTTTACTGTATATTTAGAATATATGAAACATATTTCACACTTTAATTGTTTTGATTGAGGTCTAAAATAATACAATATGTCATACAATAAATAAATTACTGTATGAAGTAATCAAATATATGTGTCTGATGCAATGGTGTTAAAGATCCAGCAGGTGTCAGTATAGAGCAACAAAGTAACCAGTATGAGTAGTTTGGGGAGTGTGTCCCAATCAATGATCTCTATTTATTCACTGCTGATTGCCAGTTTGTAGTACCAGGTTGAAGTAAAGCCACCAGCCGCCATATTGGTACTCCCTAGTTAGACCGATCACAATGTAAACAATATGTGTGCTACAGCATCAAACAACGATGATGTTGTGATAAATTCATCACTTTGACACATAGTGGCTGTTTCATAGCATCAGTAGATTACTTTAACTTATAATTAAAAAAACATAGTTATATCGCATAGTCAGTATAAAGTCAATAAAGTCTCTAAATCATGTAATAAAACATATTATACAAATGCATCACAATAAAATTAATGTGGTAATGGAGCATAATAATACAGATGTGCCAAAAGTGCTAAACTGATGATGTTCATGTAATATACATGTATTAATTTCATTGTTATGGTAATTACATCTTAGATATAATTTTAAGATTTTGCATCAAGACTGAATGTCTGTTAATGCTATAGTATTTTTCTATTTGCAGATTGTGCATGAATGATATAATTTATGCTGTGTCTGTGCATTAGCCTTTAAATCTGACATTTTTAAATATAATATTTGAATTAATAAATTCTTGAATTTATTCCATATCTGTGCAGAAATATCTTTTTGACCATGAACTGAGCTTAAATCACACTTTCATTTGTTGTTCTAACACACAGCTAGAAGGGTGTGTTCACAAAACAACACATGACCGTGAGGAATACAACAGCATTTCATTACAAAACATTGGATATATTCATTTAAATGGATAAATCCAGTATAAATGCTAAAGTGGTGCATTTATTATTCTTTTTTAGTCTAATTGTTAAATCTGTAGAAAGTAACTAGCTTTCTGGAGCCTCTAACAGGCGTCTCACTGCAAAAACAATCCAGAAATAAGTAAAAAATGGCTTAAATTAAGTATATTTAGCCTTAATTTGAGCAGGTAAATAAGATGATTTGCCAATGGAATGAGTATTTTCACTCTTAAAATAAGATAGTTAGATAATATTTACTTGAAATAAGACGATAAAATAGTTTTTTCTTATTTTAAAAGGAAATTGTCTTGTTCCATTGGCAAAGTGTCTTACTTATCTCCTCAAATCAAGGAAAAACACACTTATTTTAAGAAAAAATAACTTATTGAGATTTATATTTTTTGCAGTGCAGCTGACAATCATTTTCTCCTCAACTCTGACCAGCTTCTCTATCACTGCTGCAGATAAAGAAACCACAGAATGATGCTGCCACCGCCATGTTTTAAAATGGGAATACTGTCCCAACTATAATGTAAGTTAGCATAGAAACATGCAGATTTATAGAAAGATTAAAAAAAATGATACTAGAGATAAAGGAATACTGACGTGGCTGTCAGTCAAATTTATATTAGAAAAACTGTTTTGAATGTAGACTGTAAAAGTTACGGTTTAATTTGAGCAGAACAGTCTATATTTTCCCCTACATTTGATTTCCTTTTTCCCTCTTTGATAAAGATGATATTAGCTATTTTTATAGTTTCTCATGTAGACAGGTTCTCCTGTTTAAGCTGAGGGTGTCTGCAGAATCAGTCCTCTAAGGAGGTTTGGTATTAAACATATCGACCTCGGGTCTTAGACTGACCTGAGATGGTGACTAAAACATTGAGTCCCTCCAGAACGTCCATCTGTTGGAAGCGCCTTCGATTGATCAGGTTGTAAACTTTGCCCTGGCCGCTTCGGTCCAGCAGCATCAGACCGTTCTCTGTCCCCACCAGCAGATTCACTCCTACAAACAGAAAAAACCTTTGACTTCCTGCAGCCACACAGATGTTAACGCGTCCTCCAGGCGTCCGCTGGCGTCTCACCCCACAGAGCAGCGCAGAGGATCTCAGAGTTGAACCGCTTCTTGTATTTTCGGATCTCGGGCGTGTCGCTGTGCGGCCGGATGTTGGTCGGGTTCACGTTGACCACAGAGATCTTCCTGGCCTCGTTGAGCCTCGCCTGCTCCTGCTCCTGTTTCAGCAGCTCGTCGGCAAACAGAGCTGTAGCACAACAAGCAGAAAGACTTTCAATAATTCATCTGATGATGGAAACGCATCTTAACAGCTTTAGAAAATAATGACTTTCTTGTCACATCTTCCTTTCTTTCTAATGGACCTCAGGACTTTTAGAACAATCCAAATTAATCATTTTCTGCATCCTAAGACATCTGGATCTTCTCCTTGGAGGAAAGGGAGGTGAAACCAATGAGGAAGAGAAACGTACCTGCAGCAGAGCTCTTCTCGTCATCATCAGTCGGAGAGGTGCCGTACACCCTGGGATCGACAAACGGGGTGAAGGAAGCCTTGGAGCCTCCGCTTCCTCCCATCCCGTACTGCAGAAACACAGCAAAGCTCAGAACAAAATGAAGGAAACATCGGCTTTGGCTCTTAACACGCGTTCATTATCAGACTCTTGTTTACTTTATGTCAACCAGAAAGGAGAGAACTTCCTGGTTGAGATGCTGGAAAACTGAAAGATGGAGGTAGAGAAGGAGAAGATGGGGCATGATTGAGCCTGATAATGAAGGAAGTGAACTCTACATGATCCACGTTTAGTAAAGAGAGACACATTTATTTAGCACAATATTAAAAAATGAGCAAATTAAACTTTGTTTTAAGGTCTTGCTTATAAAGAAATGCATAAATTAGACAGTTTCAGCTCTTCATAGAATGACAGGAACTACTGGTGCCGTCAGTTGTGACTTTAGAGGAGAACTATTGAAGCCTTTCAGTTTGGTCAATTTCGATCGATTATTTCTGGAATATTTAAAGTGTATCAGTCCAGATATTTACAGTACAGACCAAAAGCTTGACACACTTTCTCATTCAAAGAGTTTCCTTTATTTTCATGACTATGAAAATTGAAGATTCACACTGAAGGTAGTAAAACTATGAATTAAAAAAACTTGGAATTATATACTTAAAAAAACTGTGAAATAACTGAAAAAATGTCTTATATTGTCGGTTCTTCAAAGTAGCCTCCTTTTGCTTTGATTACTGCTTCCATCCGTTCACCTTTTCTGCGTCGCTCAAAGACACGATGGTTGGAACCAAAGATCTTGAATTTGGACTCATCAAACCATTTTTCAAACTGACTGACCTTCATTTCGTAAAGTAATGATGGCCACTCGTTTTTCTTTAATTAGCTGCTTTTTTCTCCCCATAATAGAGATTGTAACAGTCTATTCAGTTGGACTATCAGCTGTGTATCCACCTGACTTCTGCATAACACAACTAATGGTCCCAACCGCATTTATAAGGCCAGAAATCCAACTTATTAAACCTGACAGAGGACACCTGAACATAAAGTAACCTCTGAGAAGGTGTGTCCAAACTTTTGGTCTGTACTGTATGTAGGAAAACATCTCTGTGGCATAGCCATATCATAATCGAATGGGTGGCAGGGCAGGGAGCGATATACACTGAGGGGTCGGAAAAAAGATAGAGGCTTCATCGGAATGTCTGGCCTAATGACTATAACCAGCATTATATACTGGTTACGCCATTTTAAACAAGTTTCCGAACGTCTAGTGGATGAAAACGTAGTAGAGTTGAAATTTCCAATAATGCATTATGAAAAGTAGTGATCATCATATATCCCAGAATGCTTTGTGAGAGATCTCTCCCCGCAAAGCATCCTGGGATTTATTGTGACAGCGGGCCGCTACAAGGTAGTGTGAGCAGCGAAAAATAACAAAGATGGCGCAGGCTCCATGTGGGGAGGAGGAATTACGTGACCAACTGGGAGCAAAAAGTAGTGATCATCTGTCCAAACGGTAAGTTACAGAAGGAGCCATTTAAAATTTCCCCCTTTTTAAACATCAATCTTTGTACTAAAATATTCCTTCTGTCATGATTTTTGGACATTAAGATCTAAAGAGAAGCTTGATCATGTATTCAGTGAAGTTGGCTGTCATTAAGCTGCCGTTTGACGGGGAAGGGCCATTTTGAATGGCTGCTACTGTAACTGATTTCACTATAAAGTCCATATAGTTATATAGATTATATATACTGTATAGATTATATAGTCTCTGTTCTATATAGTGATTAAGGGATTTAGGGGTTAGGGTGGATGTTTGGACACAGCCTTAGACTCCAGGGCCAATCTACCCTAATCAGACTGTACAACAGGAAAAAGAAGAGGCAAAATATCCACATTTTACAAATAAATCCCTATTGACTGATTAAATTTTCCCAAAGACCTTTGCTAATAAATGTATGAACAAGTTTTATAAAATATGTAACCTTCTAATTTATCCTATTTTTTTTTACAAGTTCATGACATGAAGAGGAAGGCTTTAGAGGAGAGTTAAGTCCAGAGTGTATTTTTGGAGGAGGCAGCAGGGAGGAGCTACTGTGCAAGTGAAGGTAATTCTAAAATGATGCAGGCATTTCTATGTTTCAGGAAAAATCCACTATACCTTTAATCAGTTATCAAAATATGCGTACATTAATACTGAAAAGTCCTTATTTAGCTCTTTTTTTAAAGTAACATTTATAGATATTAATTAGTATTAATTGAGTAACTACATTAGGAACGCAGTTACTGCTCAATGGAAGCAAGTACTTGCTAGGCAAAGTAAATATTAAGTCACTTTTTATGATCTATAATGTGGGAAAACTTGGAAAACGTAGTTATGAGAAGTTTAAATGCATCTGGAGGTTCAATTACAGAAATTCCAACCCATTGTAAAAACACTGTACATTACAGTACTTATTTGTTGATTTATTTACTTATTTTGTTATTTTTATAGACCTTTCTAAGGTCCACATTGTGTGACAACTTCTGCTATAGACGTTTGCTACTGTAACACCAGAATTTCCACATTGTAGGACAATAAAGGGATATTCTATTCTATTCTATTCCAATCTATTCTATTCCAATCTATTCTAATCTATTCTATTCTTTTCTATTCTATTCTATTCTATTCTATTCTATTCTATTCTATTCTATTCTATTCCAATCTATTCTAATCTATTCTATTCTATTCTATTCTATACCAATCTATTCTATTCTATTCTAATCTATTCTATTCTATTCTATTCTATTCCAATCTATTCTATTCTATTCTATTCTATTCCAATCTATTCTAATCTATTCTATTCTTTTCTATTCTATTCTATTCTATTCTATTCTATTCCAATCTATTATATTCTATTCTAATCTATTCTATTCTATTTTATTCTATTCTATTCCAATCTATTCTATTCTATTCTATTCTATTTTATTCTATTCTATTCCAATCTATTCTATTCTATTCTATTCTATTCTATTCTATTCTATTCTATTCTATTCTATTCTATTCTATTCTATTTTATTCTATTCTATTCCAATCTATTCTATTCTATTCTAATCTATTCTATTCTATTCTATTCTATTCTATTTTATTCTATTCTATTCCAATCTATTCTATTCTATTCTATTCCAATCTATTCTATTCTATTCTAATCTATTCTATTCTAATCTATTCTATTCTATTCTATTCTATTCTATTCTATTCTATTCTATTCTATTCTATTCTATTCTATTTGATTCTATTCTATTCTATTCTATTCTATTCTATTCTATTCTATTCTATTCTATTCCAATCTATTCTAATGTCTAATGGATTCTAGACGTCATGAAGAATTTTCCCCAGTGGAAAATGCACTGGGAATTTCCCACTGGGGTAAAACAGTGTGGGCAGGTGATGAGGTGGGTCAAATGGAGGAGGAGGTGGACGTTGGTCCGGATCAGAGCAGGAATGGAGGTTTTTCAGGGGGCCGGGATCTGCTCAACCTACTTGGACCCCGGAGGCGTGGCCCAGAGAGAAGGTGCTCTGTTGCACCAAATCTGGGAGGCTGATGTTGCCGAGGAAGGGACTAGTGCTGCCATGGAAACCGTTGCTGGGGGCAGAGCTCCGCCTCTGTACCCTAAACCTCTGGAAGAAGAGAAGAGGGCCCTGAGCGGCGAGAAAGGGGATGATGATAAAGCTGGACCCTGCTGGCTGTGAAGGTGTTTGCGGTGGGCTGGCGGGGATTCATTGTTACAAAGGAGGCTGGTGGAAACCCTTCCTCGTTAGGGATGCTGCTAGAGGTCCAGTTTGGTTCTAATAGTCAGTTTATGGGCCAAGAAAATTATTAAAACTACAACCAGTTATTTTAAACATCAACACACAGAACATTCCCTGTGTGTCTCCCCTGACCTTTAACCTTAGTTTTGTTTTATTTTGCATCAATGTCCCATGAGTGTGTCTTTCAGCTTGTATTTGTGCTGCCATCTGATCCAGCAGCAGCTAAACGAGGCCAGATTTCCTCCTCATGGCGTTAACGTGACTGTGCTACGGACCCAAACCAAAGCAGCTCTGCAGGGAAGCAGCCGGCGCTCAGAGTCGGTACTCACCTCTCTCATCATGAGCGTGTTGTCCTGGGAGCTGTCTCCATACGAGTCACTGTGGCTGTCATTTTCACCTCCGACCTCACCGAAGGACTCGTTGGTGCTTTGACTTGCTGGAGGCCTGAAAGTCCAAAGGAATAAATATATATATATATTTGTCTAATCCAAGCATGAAGCTCTCCCCTCTTTTTAAAGGAGATCTAAAGGTACTCACATGATGCGCGGTATATCGCTAACGGCAACCGAACCATCATTAGATCTGCCCTCTCCCTCCTCATCCTCACTGCTGTGGGACTCCTCGCTGGAGGAGGAGTAGTCGGTCACTTTGACAGGCGGACGGCTGGTCTCCTCTCCCTGCCGCAGCTCCCTCAGCTCTTTGGCCAGAGCCGTCAGGTCCTGCAGGACGAGGATCCACTGTTACTGGTTCTGCTCTGTTCGCTCAGGCAGGTGTGTGAGCAGGTAAATGAGAGGAATGAAGCTACAGTAACATTTAGTTTTAATGTTGCTTTCAAAGCACTAAGAGAGGAAAAAAAAATGTATCAAATAAAATGTGCATCAACACATCTCTACATAATCCCAACGTTTGAACTAATTTCACACTTTAAATTCAGACAAATCTGATTAATAAGCTGAGAGAAGAGTTTGTCAGTGAAAAAGTACTTTTCCACTATAGAACATTTATTCTCTGATGATTCGCTGGACTCTGAGTGCAGTTTTATTAAGAAATACATCAAAGTTCTTTCTAAGCCTCTCAGTCTCTGACTGCAGCTGAGAGAACAAAAATAAAGCTGAAATGTAATTTGATTACCGGCTCGGCTTTTCAGGGAATGAAATTTGACTTCTAGAAAATTTACATGTTACTTTGCAAAGTTTACGCAAATTTGATGAGTCACTTTCCAGAGGTTTTTTCCTGGGATTACCAAAGTTACGCTGCTTTTCATTATCCTCTGAACTGTAACAGAGTATAGTGATGCAATCACTGAGGTTCCTGTTTTTCAGCTACAGACGCTTGTTTTTCCCATGAATAATACAGCCAGTGTTAAAACCACAACAGAAACCCTCTTCTACTAAATAAACGGGCCACATATACAGCAATAAAACCTACTGTCCACCTAACGCTCTCAGGTAGTCCCTGAACGGCTGACTTAGTGCTGCAGAAATAATAAAGAACTAGAAGTGGACAAACTAGAAGTGTAACTACTGTTAATGCAAATGTCAACCTGCTTTGCTGTGTTTTTGTTTTATTTTGGAGCATCTCTGCATATCTTCTGAAGAGTGGAAATTATGGATCTGAGTAGCTGGCCTCTACGCTTTCGATCAAATTTCCTCCACAAAGACATTGATCAAAGGACAGTCCTCTGGAGACACATGCTGCTCAGCATGTTATGGATTCCTGGGGGAAGTGGAGGATAATGTGTCTGTCTGTGGAGGACGATGAAGATGCATAACTGGATTATTGCTATTGGATTTCTGCCTATTGGACTTGGTGGCTACCTGGCCTATCATGAAATTCGGAAAGTGTTGGCAGCTGTTTGGAGCGGTGAGGCCGTCTGGCCGATGTGATGGAATATGTTGAGCCATCAGAACTCAGAATCAGACGCTATTGGATCAGAATCCCAAACTGGAGACGATCCTCGCTGAGGGTTACAGACCAGCTGAGCTTCCGGATCCCAGGTAGAGTAAAATAGATTGTGGAGAAAGCTGTAAGCTGTGACTCTTGGTCATTCTTTCCTGGGGTGGTCCTCATGTCAGCCAGTTTCTTTGTAGTGCTTGATGATTTTTGCGACTGCACTTGAGGACACTTTCAAAGCTTTGCCAAAGTTGTGTTGCAAGAGCGACCAAGAAATTCGGAGGAGCGGAATTTCACCACAGAGAGTTTCTAGTAAGACTTTATGGCAAACAGTTAAACAACAGTTTTTATCTGAACGATTGTCATTATCTGAAATTGGCTCCGATGTGTCGGCCTTGAAGGTTGCCTATCACACATTCTGCTGGATGTTAAGCAAACAGATGCTCCACCACCACTTCTACTACATCTGGGATCTGGTGTCCAGGAACAACCACGGTCTACCTGATAGACACTACATCTTCATCTAAAACTGGCATACATACATCAACATCTCCCATGGCTACAGATACATACTCACCACCTTCATGGGCTTCAACCCGCCATTTCCCTACTTATTCTGCTTTCCCTACATCCTACCTTCCCTTCCTCCCTACTCCTTCCCTCCCTCTGTTCCCTATTCCCATGTGCTCTATGGAGGGTAAGTTAAGTAACACATATGCCTTGAAATAAATAAATAATTAAATGATATATTCTAAAAAGTAATATACAGGTTTAAGAAAGTAATATATAGAGTAATGTGTTCATTTTGTAAAGTAGCCTTTAAGTTCCAGCTTTTCCAGTTTACAGGGAATCTTTTGCATATCTACATTACTATGGCAGAAGCCTGTAAGTTCTATAAAACTAACATTTGCATTCTAGAAAGTGACATTTGGATTGTTGAACAGTAACCTGTAAAATGCTACTAAACAATCTATAAGTTTTCAAAATAAAGAAAAAAGGAATCCCATAAAAGTTTTGCGAACTAAGTTGCAGTTAAAAAGTGATATGTAAGCAGTTTTTTTTCTTTCCAGAAAATGAATCAGCAAAATAATCTAAAATCTGTAAGAATTATGAATTATGTTAAGATAAATAAATACCAGCTAAGTTAAATAAAGTGATTAATTTAGCTTAATTTAGTTTACTTAAAAAAAAAGCTTAATTTAGAAAAGTATCCGGTAATTTTCAGGTGATTTCTAAGGATTTATTCTAAAACTAAAAGCAAGGTAAGTTCTGGAAAGTAACACCAATATTCCCAAAAATAACAGTTATGCTTGTGAAAGTGAGCAGCAAGTCCCTATGAAAGAATTGATCATCTTTTAAAAATAATAATGAAATAATACTAGATACCATTTTTTAAGTATGTTTTGGAAAGTTCAAAAAAATGGTAAAAGAAATCAACATTTAAAATTAAGGTAAATAAACTAATAACTTCCAACCTAGTAATATTTAAATCCCAGTTCAGTTCAGTTTTTAGAAAGAAACCTGAGTGTTTGATAAACCTAAGATGCAAGTATGAGAAAAAGGTGCAAAAGTTTTAGAACAATACAAGAAAAAGTCCCATAGATGTTCTGCAAAGTAAATTGCAGTTAAGAAAGTAAAAGCAGGTTTTTAGAAGTGACGATGAGTGATTTTAGAGGAAATTATTCTGCAAAATAACAAATTTATTCCTTAAAAGGAACTTTAAAGTTCCAGGAAGGTTACATTGCATTAATGCTTGTTAAAAAGTTAGATTGAGTCCCTGTTAACGAATCTATAAGTTTACTTATAATTTAAAAATGAAAACCAGGTAATTTTTACATGGTAATATTTTGATTTAAGAAAGTCACTACTCTTTAATTTAACCTTTAAATTTCATAAAAGCAATTTCTTCATTTGGGGAAAGAAGCAAGCCTTTGCATTTTAGGTACGTAAGTTTTGGAAAGTAACATTGGATTCCCAAAAAATAACAGTTCTATTATAGAAAATGATCAGTAAGTCCTTGGAAAATAATCTCTGATTAACAAATAATTAATACAATAAATATAAGTTTTTAAAAGCAACTCATAGATTTAAGAAAGTAACCTTTACGTTTTAGAAAGTTGCACAAAATCATTTAGGAAGTTAACCTTTAAAGTTATAGGAAACAAAGAAATATTTAAATCCCTGATACATTTCAGAAAGTAACCAATATATTTTAAGAAAATAATTCATAAACTAAGGGAGAAGGACAGTTTTAAAAACATTTCTTATAAGAATAGAATGAAAGCTTTGCTTCTAAAGACCTTTTGGTGATAAGAAACCCTTCAGCTCAGGAGTTCAGGCCAAACAATCCAGCAGGCAGAATATCACAAAAACATAACAAATCTTGGAGACACCATGCAGGTTGTTAGTACGCTCCATTTGAATTTCTTTCTGAATCTCTGTAATGACGGGGGCAGCGAGCAGGAGGAGAAAACAGAGACATGAGGGGAGTCCAACTACAGACATTTACCATGCCTCAGTGCTACAGGTCACACTTCAGATAACTTCAAATTCACATTCTACATCCAGCAGCCACAGATAAATAAACTGAGATGCAACAACTGTCTCATAGTGTGATGCTTGAGTCAGCGTGTTGCAGCAGGATTCACAAGTTCAGTCAGCAGACGGTCAATTTTATCTGGATGCACTGAATTTATTGTTTTAGAGCAAATAATTTGTCTGAATATCTACATTAATGAATGAAAGGAATTATATTATTCCCAAGGAATTAATATATACAGTATAAATATTGACAAATTGAAACAGGAACTATAAAGCACTATTTAATCATTTATTTTCTAAATCTAGATCGGTTTTAAAAAGATAAAATAATGCAATAGAAAATGACAACATTATATCATTAAAACTACCATTTTACTTTAAACAACTTCTAACTTAACTTTTCATATATGATTTATTTATTTAGATTTTGGTGATTATAAAAAATTTCCAAAAATATATTTCATTCTTTTTATCCTGTAATTATGTGTTGAAATTACATCTTTTAATGTTTAATTAATAATTCATTTTGACATATTCTTTAGAGAAATATGTTCCTTTATTTTTTTTAAAAACTAAACCTTCCAAAAAAAGTAGTTTAAAAAAAATATAAATAAACCTTTAAAATTGAAAACTGGATAAAACATTAATTCTACAAATAAGAAACACTAAAATAAGTAAAGGTAAATAAAATAGAATACATTCACAATGGAGCAATATTCTAATTAAACATTATTAAATTGATTATAATAAAGTACTTAATTAAACAATAATTAATCAAATTAAAAGAAACTAAAGTGAAAAACAAAATAAAATTAACTTAAACAAATAGTAATGGAGAAATTAAGGCCTGAAACATAATTTATACCTCTCTCTTACAGTTTCCTGGTCATACATAGCTGGCTTTTAAATGAAATACTGGTGAATATCTTAGTTATGAACCAGATGTTGACAGATGAACAAAAACAGTGAGATTCCTGCAGCAACATGGCTGCTGCACTGACACATCACAGCATAAAAACAGAAGCAACCAGAGAAATATCTGGCCAAAGAGATCACAGCAGGGATGCGAGAGGCTTTGGTAAGGCTGGTGGGAGTGGGGGGGTGAGGGGGGGGGAGTCATCTTACCAACTCCTCCTGATGAGAAAGAGAGGAAGGGTAAAATGGAAGATAAAAAGAGAGAAAGTGGGACCGTGAAAATGAACCATGACTGCAGAGATGAATAAAGTGACGTTTCCACCGAGGGATACGACAGGAAGTCATGAGTCGTACGGTAACTGATCAAATGTCGACTTCCTGTCTGACAAAATGGGAAAACAGTTCAGCAGCATTATGTCACATGAGAGGGAAATAAAAGAGAAGGTATAACTGGGTGAAAATCTGGAAAACAGCAGCTTTTTTATCTCAGCGACGCAATGAATAAATGTTTCAACTCTGTTATGATGTTAAAGGAATAGTACACCCAAAACATGATTAGCCTTCATTTTCTACTCACCCCCATGCTGAACAACACTCTGGAGTACTTTTTTGATATCTCAAATGCATCTGGAGATCTGGGAGGCTTCTTGCTGTCTGCTGACATTCAAATAATGGAGGTCTATGGCGCCCGAGACAGAAAGGTCCACAAAAGTCCACAAAAAACGTGTCAATATTCCTCCATACTGCTCGTCCAATGTATTCCAAGTGTCCTGAGTGGGTAGCATCCAGAATTTACTCGAAACAAAGTCATTTAGAATGTTTTTAGAGCATAAACAGTAGTGTATAGGATTTCCTGAAAGCGCGCACGTGCGCGATCACGAGTCTACAGAAACCGCGGCAGACCAAACCAGATGAAAGTGCGCATTCAGCGTCTGCTCTGCTGATAATGCAAGCGTAGAAGAAGAAATGTGCTGTTTACCTGTGCAAAGAAAGAAACAACGAAAGAAAAATGTCTGAGGACTTCAGTGTTGAGGAAGAGCAGGAGTTCTTTGCCGAGCTGAATGCGCACTTTCATCCGGTTTGGTCTGCCGCGGTTTCCGTAGACTCGTGAACGCGCTTTTAGGAAATCCTATACACTACTGTTTATGCTCTAAAAACATTCTAAATGACTTCGTTTCAAGTAAATTCTGGACGCTACCCACTCAGGACACTTGGAATACATTTGACGAGCAGTATGGAGGAATATTGACACGTTTTTTGTGGACTTTTATGGACCTTTCTGTCTCGGGCGCCATAGACTTCCATTATTTGAATGTCAGCAGACAGCAAGAAGCCTCCCAGATCTCCAGATGCATTTGAGATATCAAAAAAGTACTCCAGAGTGTTGTTCAGCATGGGGGTGAGTAGAAAATGAAGGCTAATCATGTTTTGGGTGTACTATTCCTTTAAGCGGATATTTGCATTTCATTAAAACAAACAACTGATAAATAAAAACTTTGCTGGAGAAATATTTAAATTAAAATATTGAAGTTATGATGCTTTTGGAAGCTGGATAAATCTATTGTCCATCTAATTTTTTTTTTTTGGCATTAGACAGAAAAGAAACAGTCTGGAAAGGGATCACCAGCCACTGCAGCTCCAGCCCAGGGGCCCCAATCCTCCTATTAACAGCCCTGCACCAACCTGCGTAATATAATCCCACATAATAAAACGACGGTGCCACAGACTGATGAACCCCTAAAAATATGAGACTATATACATTTTCAATACAATTATTTAGTGTCTCACTCATTATTTTAAACCCTTTTGTAATTATTATATGGAACATTAAATTATGCATTTCTGTATGTTATAATTTAATACTACATATATGGTAATATATTAATCAATATAAATACAGTCTATGATCTAAAATGTAATACATTTACATTCATATTTAAGTATTTAATTATATATAGTATTTTGGTCTGACATATACCTTAAACATCACAATGATTGAGAAAATCATCTTGCGGACGCCACTTGGTGTTTTGTGACCCCCAGGGGCCCCACTTTGGAAACCTCTTCGATATGATTCACAGTAGCATAAAGCTCAAAGGAAATGAAAATATAGTGAAGCTAACATTAGCTTAGCTAATACGAAGTTCAGAATTAACAATAATCATTTTATAGCTTATTGCTAGTGTTGTGAGAACACATTAATGACCGTGGCAAACTACAGCTATAAGGCTGAAGACGATTTGCTAACGTTACTAGACACAACTAATAAGAAATCAGTAATGTCTCTGTCGCTACCCGATCTGTCCCGGAAGAACGATCCGTCCTGCGAATGCATGAACAGATATACGTACATTCGGGCAAGGGTGATTAAAGTTGGTGGTGACACTCTAAGGGTGGGGGCTGATGGACGCTTTCATTAGGTTTTTGTATTTTCCAAAATTGAGTTCAAACATATATTTATTGAATGCTTTCCTATTGTTTAGAACACAGGAGAACCACAATACACTGATATATATATTTATAGATCTTAGAGAGATGCCTTTTAGTGCATTGCATATATAGGGCCAAAAAATATTCATGTATAGAAAAACAACAAATAAGAGCCGATTCCAAAATCGATAAATCATGCATCCCTAGAATCTAAAATTTCAATTCCATCGATAAAATATGGATATGCTGCAATTTAAAATTGTAGGGAAGCGGCTGTTCCAACCGTTGCATTTCTGAATTCTCTCAAGTGGTGCACGACTTTACACCAGTGAATAAAGTGAATGTGATTGGTCAATTATTAAGGGGGCGGGGTTGTTGTGGTGGAAGCTTTGCAACCAGTTTGGCTGTGGCCGGTGTCTTGGAAGCATTTTGCTAACCAGTTAGCAACTTATTGCTAGTAGGTCCCCGATGGGAAATTCCATTGGGACCAAGTAGCACTAAATTGGTGACTTAGAAACGACACTGTCAAGGAACGCTATGGACAGAGGAAACATGCAAGAGGAGGAGAGTTTAGTGTCGGCGGTCGTGGAGGAGTCTCCTCCATCATCCATTTTTTATTTAGAGGAGGAAAGTGGGATGAAGATGTTGTGGAAGAGGACGCCATTCACCTACTTTAGATCGCCAATGAAATGTAAAGTAATTGCAAATAAAGGTAGTAATCCAGAAGAAATTTGATTCCTATGAAATGGCTGCAACACAGTTTGTCCGAGTGGTATTGCCATATATTGACGTCATCAGCAGGGGCAGGGCCCCGAGCAGAACTTAATTTTTTTATTTATTTAATTTAATTGAACTTTATTGATCTCACACTGGAGAAATTCACCTCTGCGTTTAACCCATCCCTTGGAGAGCAGTGGGCTGCCATTGTGTGGCACCTGGGGAGCAGAGCAGGGTTAAGGGTCTTGCTCGGAGACCCAGATTGGAGGCTGCGGGGATCAAACCAGATACTTGCAACCTTCTCAGAGCACTGCTCTAACTCACCAGGCCAACACTCTCAAAATCAGATCTGAGCAGATCTGGTACATATACCGTTCTCTTATTGCGGCCAGGGTTCTAGAAAATCAGTCCAAGGAATCAGAAATGGCTTCTGAATTCTGAGGTTGCAATCCTTTGAATGTAAAATACAGATTTTAACCCAGTTATGTTTCTTTTTATTCCACACTGTTTGATCCACATCATTCTTGTTGGGGTTTTATTCCTCCAACATTCCTCAAAACAGGAAAAATGTGAAATGAGCAACCTGGCATGCCTGAAGACGGACCAGAACACAGAAAAACAGGGAGGACGGTGGGAGAGAGGGAGAGAGACAGGTGGAAGAGAAGAAATGTCACTGACCTCGTCTAAAGCTTTTTTATAACTCTGAAGGACGACAGAAGGACAGATGGAGGACAGGATGAGAGGAGAGACAGAACCAACAGCATCATGGTCAACCCGTAGTTTAGCGCCCAGCCAGTGGGACGCTCTCACACACAGATGGATGGACGTGTTTGTTTGTGTTGGTTAAAAATGCGAACTCACTGCAGGCCTGCTGGGCCGAGTCAGCTCTCTACTGTCGTCTTTGGTGTCGTGGGAGGAAAGCGTGGAGCCGTCGGTTTTAGCAGCAGAATTACCTGAGAACACAGAGAACCCAATGAGCATGCCTGAGTTTGGGTCAGCGCAAGAGTTTTAGGACTTCAGTTCCGGACTTTAGATACAGTAATCTGGGATGTCTTCACACAGAAGTGTTTCCTGCTGGTTCTAATCTTCTTATTGGGAAATCTGTGGGGTGAAATAACTGCTAATTTGTAAATGTACGTCAGTAAACATGAAGATTCAAGAGTTGTTTCTTGATGGCATTTTGTACATAGCTGTGAGATTAAATGTTCTGATCTGTATGAAAATGAGGTTTAAAATTCGATGTACAAAGTAACAGCTTTTAAAAAGTACAGGTATAAATTACAAATTCAAAATGATCAAATGTGTTGCAAATAGTTCAGTTTTTGTCTTCTTTCTCTACTCCTTGTTTAGGAGAAGTTGGCAAATAACCTTCAGATGCATCACTGCCACCTACTGCTAAGGAGGAGTGTAACAGTGTCACTTTTGTTAGTCGTACTACCGTTAAAATGTGCATAATGTGAAAATTTACATTTACATGTAAATATTTCAGTGGTGCCTTTATTTCGTGATTGATATTATATAAGTTGTAGCATAAATAAATTAGTGGATTGAATATTACGTTTTCTTTTTTTTTTTTTTTCCAAAGATATTTTTATTAGAATTTTCTGTTAGACATACAAAACAAACATACACACACGCTGAAACATGAAAAATAAAGCAAAATAGACTAAAAACAAAAAGACAAAACAGAGCAAGGTGAATTCCCTCCCCCCACCCCCCACCCAAAAAGAACACTAAACCCCAGGGCTCACTCTATCTACACACTCAAAAAACGAGGAAAAAATAACTTTACATGTCACAGTATTTTATAAGATGTAGGAAGGGAAACCAAATATCCTTAAAGTCTTCAAGCTTTCCTTTTGTTATATATGTCAGCTTTTCCATTGCCAGGTTGTTGGTCAATAGTTTAATCCATTCATTTATCTTTGGTCTTTCTGTGTTCTTCCACTTCAGAGCAATCAAATGTTTAGCCTGCAAAAGGCAAAAACTCAAAAGCTTCCCTCTCTTCATAAGTCCTTTAAGTCCATCTGGAAAAATGTGCAATAAGCAAAGTTTACTGTCCATTGGAACATCCTGTTCGATCAAACGGGAGATGAACATGGTAACCTCCTTCCAGAAAGTTTGAATCTCTATACATTGCCACATACAATGGAAAAGAGTGCCCTTATCTATATTACATTTAACACAGATATCAGGAATATTTGAATGAAAATGGTGAAGTTTTACAGGAGTGATATACGTTCTAAATAACCATTTGTATTGTAATAATCTAAACCTTGTGTTAATAGTTTGCGTTTGCGCCAATAGACATGAGTTATTCCAATCATCCTCAGGGATTTCAGTTCGCAGATCAGCTTTCCAAGCTTGTAAATATGCAAGACTATTTTCTTTTGAAGCCAAAAGTAAAATATTATAAAATTTGGAAAGTATGCCTCTACTCTGATTATGGTGAAAGGCTATATTCTCTATGGTTGTGAGTGGAGGTTCAGACGTAGATTTCAGTGAGGCGAAGACAAAACTTCTAATCTGTAAATACTTAAAAAAATGCTTTTGGGGCAGACCATACTTATTTACCAGTTGTTCAAAAGTCATCAAAACTCCTTCACTATAAAGGTCCCCTATTTTATTTAAGCCTCTATTCATCCATATTTTAAACCCCCTGTCTGCTCTTCCTGGTTTGAAATTATTGTTTCCCCAAATAGGTGACAGATATGAGATTTTGGACACCTCATCTAAATCCTTATGGGAGTGGTGCCAAACTGATATGGTGTTTTTGAGAAAAGGATTTTTGGTGTTTTTTAATAAATATTTAAGTTCCGCTGAGTAAAGATAGGATGACAAAGGTAATGTTACAGAGTTGTTTTCTATTTGTACCCAACAAGGTATGTCACCGGTTGAAAAATAACAGGAAGCAGCACAGAGTTGTGCAGCACGATAGTACAATTTAATGTTTGGCACTCTAAGCCCACCTCGATCATAGGGCAAATAAAGAAGAGAGAGTCGCAATCTGGAGCGCTTATTGTTCCATATAAATTTGTTAAAAGCTTTATCCATAGAAGAAAAGAAAGAAGCTGGAATGTGTAAAGGAATGGACTGGAAAAGGTATAAGAACTTTGGAAGAATGGACATTTTAATAATATTAATACGCCCTATCATTGAGACTGGCATTTCGTTCCATCTTTCTAGGGAATCTAATGTTTTCTGCACTAAAGGATCATAATTTATAGAAACCATTTTCTCTAAATCTCTGTCAATCTTAATTCCTAGGTAAGTAAAGCCCTCTTCGGTACATGCAAATTGTGTTTGTATTGGAGGGTTATTTCTGTTCAGCATTAATAAGGAGCTTTTCTTTTGGTTAACTTTATATCCTGAGAATTCTCCAAATTCCTTTAGTAGTTTATCAACAGCTTGAACAGATTCTTCCAAATTAGCTAAATACAAAACAATGTCATCTGCAAAGAGAGACAACCGGTGCTCTACATCCCCAATTTGAATGCCAGTGATCTCGGGGGATTTACGTATTGCCATGGCAAGCGGTTCAATTGCAAACAAGAAAAGAAGAGGGGACAATGGGCATCCCTGTCGTGTCGATCTACAGAGGTTTATACATCTTGACAATTGATTGTTTGTGGCAACTTTAGCCACTGGCTCAGTGTACAGTAACTGAATCCATTTTAAATATTTTCCTCCTAGGCCGAATCTCTTAAGGATATCAAAGAGGTAACTCCATTCAATCCTGTCAAAAGCTTTTTCAGCATCTAATGACAAAAAGGCATGGTCCATAGCAAACTGTTTTTCATACAATATATTAAGTAATCGGCGGGTATTATGAAAGGCTTGACGTCCAATTACAAATCCATTTTGGTCATTTGAGATTAAATTGGGGATGTGTGTTTCAATCCTTCGAGCCAAAGCTTTGCACAAAATTTTTGTGTCACAGGACATTAAAGAAATGGGTCTATACGAGTCCATTTCTGTTGGGGGTTTACCTGGCTTCAACAAAAGAGAAATAGTTGCCAATCGTAAGGATGGGGGTAGGGTGCCTTTTTCATAAGATTCATTGAACGCTTCGAGTAGAGGGGGCAGTAATTTATCTGGAAATTTCTTGTAAAGTTCAATTGGTAGGCCATCGGGGCCGGGAGCTTTACCAGAATTCATGTGGCTTAGAGCCACTTTGAGTTCTTCAACACTTAATTTTTCATCCAAATCTTTCCTTCTCTCTTCTGACAGGGTTGGAAATTGAAGTTGGTCTAGAAAATGCTTTTGTTTATTTGTATTATCTGGATATTGTGAAGTATAATAATTTTCATAATATTTTGCAAATGCCTCATTTATACTTACTGGATCCACCAGATTCTCACCATTATTTAATTTGATTAAATTTATGGCCCGATTTGTCTGTAACTTTTTGAGCCTCCAAGCTAGGAGTTTTCCTGCCTTCTCACCCTGATCGTAATATGATTGTTTTAACCACAATAGATTTGTTGCTATTTTGCTGGTAGTGAGCTCGTTATATTCTGATTTTAATAAAAGAAGTCTCCTATATTTGTCAGTATCATTGCAATAATACATCTGTTCCTGCAATTCTTTGATTTGTTTTTCAATGTTTTTTAGTTTATTTAGATGTATTCTTGATTTATGCCTAGTATAGCTCATTATTTCCCCCCTTATATAAGCTTTAAATGCTTCCCATTTTATTGATGCACTGGTTTGGTTTGTATTAAAATTAAAATACTCAGTTATTTTCCCTTCAAGAAATTCTTCAAACCCTTCAGACCTAAACCATTTAGCTTGAAATCGAAATGGGATTGAAGACCGACACTAATTTGGTAATTTTATAGATAGAATAACTGGAGCGTGATCAGAGAGTAGAATAGCTTCATACCAACATTTTTGAACAGTAGATAATAGACTAGAAGAGACCAGAAAAAAGTCTATTCGTGAGTAAGTTTTAAAGGTGCTTGAAAAGCAAGAGTACTCTGTTTTATTTGGAAAAAGTTGTCTCCAAACCTCCACTAAATTCAGATCTTTCATATATTTCTTGATAGTTTTCCTAGCTTGTTGGTGGGACAAGACAGAACTGTTTGAACGGTCTACTGCAGGATTTAAAACACAATTGAAATCTCCACCAATTATAAATGGACCGTTATAAGCTGCCATGGTTAAAAACAAATTTTGGTAAAAAGCAGGATCATCACCATTAGGGGCATATAGACACACAAAGTTGACCATTGTAGAGACTATAGTCCCACTAAGAATGATAAATCTCCCTGATGGGTCGAAGTATTTATTTTTTAGTTCAAATGGAATTGATTTGTGAATCAGTATTATGACTCCCCTGGCATGAGTTGTAAAACTAGAGGAGAATACCTGGCCAGGCCACCTAGATCTAATTTTATTCACATCTTTTCCAGTCAAATGTGTCTCTTGCAAAAAGCATATTGTAGTTTTCATCTGTTTGATTCTGCCCATCACTTGTTTAAGCTTGACAATTTTATTCAGACCTCTGACATTCCAACTAGATATATTAATTACAGGACAAACAGACATAAGTTGTGTAATTGGAGATGTAAACAAATGAAATACATTGGTCCCTTCCTATTCTCTCATTCAAGTAGTGTAAAGTCCACAAAAAAACAGTGTCCAGAGAGAGCCCTGTAACCCAAATCTCCACATATTTCCCCAAATGAAATGTGGCGGTAACCCCTTCTGAATATTGAACTTGGGTTATATGAAACGTTGCAGCCACCAAGTGGATAACGTAAAAAACTGCACGCATAACGATGGTCATGTATAGGTTGGCCGGCATAAACAAAAAGTGCTCTGACCAAAATAACAGTAATTAAGGCAAGGTTTGCTAACATTGCAAAGGAGTAATAGAAAAATATTAACAGTGTTCATGCTTCCCTTTTTTAAGACAAAACGTTATTTTTAGGAACTATGCCAGAATAAG